CTAACACTTGGCTCCACTGCTTTGTAGGTATTCAGAAAAGCACCATGCGCAGTCATATGCACTGTGGTTCACAACCAAAGAATTTTACCTGAGTAGATTCCAGGGTAAAATTGTAGTAACAGTGTCTCTACCTGAAAGTTATGTCCCTCATTTAGAGATATCGACTATTAGTAACTATTAGGATATATTATAAATACATCTGTGCACTCTGCTTTCTTCTCCCTAGTAATGGTGAAAAGGCACGGACAAGCAACTCTAAGATGTAACCTTGGCTTAAAAGGGATTTAAATATGGCTGAGCTCCTTAATGCAAATTCTACAATTAGACTTTCAGTCTATATAATTTTTTATCCCTTCAAATATCACAAGAAGAAAGTAGTATTGCCTTATGCTAATTTCTTTCAAACATTTTTTTTAACTTGAAGAAATAAATCCACACATATCTTCCGCAAATATCCTTTCAAGGTGGCATTTATCTTTTTCAGAATAAAACAGTACCCCTCTTCCCTCTTCTTTTTTTGGTTACATAACACCTTATAAAAAAGGACAGATTCTATTTGGTAGTCATTTCTTGAATTAGCTGATTCTGAGGTAGGCACACCTATGAGTAAAGCAGTAAAGTCTGAAAACAAGAAGCTAAAACTCAAGGAGACTAAACCTCAGGATCTAATTCTTACTATTTTAGTAAACATCCAAATAATAAAAATAGTGGCATGCAGTTTGTTAATGACAGATCATGGATAAATTTCTTAACAGATAGTGTATGTGCATGGTTTAATATAAATAGAAAGCCACAAAAAATGTTATATAGTTAGTGGAACTCTTTCACTTGCTACTAAACCAAAACTGAAATTTATTGATAACTAGAAAAAAATCTTAATATTGAAGAAATGATAAAATAACTGAGGGATGACTGAAAAGCCCAAGGAAGTTAAATATACTTTCAATCTTGATTTTAGTTTAAGTGAATTGTAAATATGTTAACTTTTAAAATTAAAAGCAAATGTGATACTGAAGGGTCATAAAAGCATTTGTCATCTACTTCACAGAAGTTTAAAATTCCAAAATATATTATCTCTACCTGCCAAATACTGACTCAATTTCATTATCAGTACTATTCTATCAACCCAATTCAATGTTTGCTGAAATGGCTAAGCATTTAATCTTACTTTGAAAATAAATTCTCATAGTATACAATGCAATGATTATCTTTACCCTTCACTTTCCATTAAGACTATGAACTAGGCTCGGCGCCTATAGCTCAACTGGCTAAGGCGCCAGGCACGTACACCTAAGGTGGTGGGTTCGAATCCCCAGCCCGGACCTGCCAAACAACAATGACGGCTGCAACCAAAAAATAGCCAGACGTTGTGGTGGGCGCCTGTGGTCCCAGCTACTTGGGAGGCTGAGGCAGGAGACTCGCTTGAGCCCAGGAGTTGGAGGTTGCTGTGAGCTGTAATGCCACGGCACTCTGCCCAAGGGGACAGCTTGAGGCTCTGTCTCAAAAAAAAAAAAAAAAAAAAAAAGACTATGAACTACCAAAACATAAAGCCATACTATCTGAAGCTGGCTGAAATAATTTTTACTTTTTATTTTTAAATATAAATATATTTTAAATTATGCTTAATTAAAATATATATATTTTTAATACCATAACTTCATGTAGCTGTGCAAACATGCAATTACTGCATAATGGATATGTAGTATTTAATAGATACTACCAAACTGCCTTTCAAAATAGGTGAATTATGCCAGTGATTTGCCAGAAGTTTAAAAATGATTAAAAAATAAAATTTAAAAAATTCCTGAACTAATTTATACTCCACCAGCAATGCAAGAGTTCCTATTTCCCACATCTTTTCAATCACTTGACCTGATATCTGCCAATCTGATAGGGGGGAAATGATCTCATTGTTTTTTTTTGGTTTTTTTTGGTTTTTTTTTTTGAGACAGAGTCTTGCTTTCTCACCCTCGATGAGAAAAGAAAAGAAAAGAAAAATGGAAAAGGAGCAAAGGCCTCAGCCTCAGAATTTAGCCAGTGAGGAAATCCAAAAAGAGCCAAAGAAGCAGAGAGAACAATTTTGAGTCAAGTAGACATGGTTCTCAAAATAATGGAATGAATGGTTAAAAAAAAAAAAAAGATCACTACAGGAAAACCAAGCAAAGATCATTAGACTTTCCTATATGATATTAAGATATTACTCATAGACTCTTAACCTCAACTACATGAAGTTGTGTGATAGCCAGTATAGTGGGTGACACTGGTTCAAAGAGTTTGTGAAAAAAAAAAAATAAGCAGATTACTTGCTTATATTCCACTTCCTTCCAGAATATTAAGTAAACATAAAGTCAGGACCAAAGCAAAGGAGGAAAAGTAAATATCCTAGCCATGAGAACTAATGCAATTGCTTTGGTTAAGCATTACATTTACTCTGACCTTATTTACCAGCAAGACAAAAAGGTAAACAGTTCGAATCACCCAATTTAAGATAAGACAGAAGTATAACAGTTTCTCACAAGAAACTTTTCCCTGGAAACTAAAAATATAGAAGAATCTCTCATAGTTGAGTCTGAAATTCAAAGGCCTATGTCCTCAACAGGCTTTATAATAAAGAAGTAATTTTTTTCTTATTTATGTAATAAACAGTTACACAGTATTTCACATGTTAAATATTGTTCTAAGCCTTTTACAAAATGTTAACTTCATTTAGTTTTCATGTGGCTATTTCCTTTAATAACAGTCTACAAAATCTGGAAGACAGGATCCTGAGTGAGTGCATGCATCCAAGTGGACAACTGATTGAGAGGGATGATCAAAGTATGAAGAGGGTGTGTGTGTGTGTGTGTGTGTGTGTATGCTTATTAAAAAGGATAACAGGATCAACTGGAAGTTTATTTCCCAGGATGAGAGACATGTTTCTCACCTAAAGGCAAAAAGGAAAGAGCCAACAGAGGAAAGCTACATTTGGAAACCAAATCATTCAAAAAACAGAAACTTTAACCAAATTAAAATACCTTCTTTAGAACCTTGAGAGCATTGTTAAAGGATGATTTCTTACTAAGAAAGCAATGAATGCTGGGCACGGTGGCTCACGTCTGTAATCCCAGCACTCTGGGAGGCTGAAGCAGGTGATCAGCTGAGCTAACCAAACCAGCCTCAGCCTGAGCCAGAGCCAGACTCTGTCTCTAAAAATAGTGGGGCACTGTGGGGGGTGCCTGTAGTCCCAGCTACTTGAGAGGCTGAGGCAACAGAATCCCCTGAACCTAAGAAGTTTCACGTTGCTGTGAGCTATGACACCAGGTACTCTACAGCAGGTGACAAAATGAGATTCTTCCTCCAAAAAAAAAAGGCACTGAAGCCAGAAACCAATGGGCAACAAATAAACAACAAAAGCTCAATTTCCTATTTGATAAGGAGAGAAGGGGGGGGGGGCTAAAGCTCCTGAAGAGACACGGACATGAAGACACAATTTTATTAGAAAGCAGTTCCCATCCTATAGCTTTTAAGGGAAACTTTTAAATGGTAGTAATTTCATTTTGCAATTCTGTGACTCAGGGCACAAGTATTGAAATCCTTGGCACTTGACTGGTAAACCAGATGATCTTAAAGTAAAAACGAGCCTCCCATGAGATTAAGCATAATTCCAGTCCCTAAAACATCAGAGAAATACAAATTTAACAAATGTAGTTTTCTTTTAACTTGAAAGGATTTCAGCCTTCCAACTCAAGGTATTAAATGATCTGCCCTAGGTCAGGAGACTACTTTGTGACACAAAATCGTCTTTACAGAACATCACAAATTTTGCCCATCATCAAGTAATTTTTTTTTTAAAATCACCCTTTTCAGTCTGGGAAAGCAACTTTAATTTGGAAAGTTTTAGGAAGGTCCCAATTTCAATTACAGGAAGCATCAAGCAGCCCTGAGATTGAAATTATAAGAGTCACACTTTCAATTTGACTTAAGGAACTCTAGAGCTGGGAATAGAAGTGAAAGGGAGGCAAAACTGGAGCATTAGCATACAAAGGCAGAAAAGTAGGAGGGTATTGAGAAAACAAAGTGTGTCCATTTATATTACACAAGACAGAAATATTCACGTAACTGTTTCACTTATTGTTTAATAAAAACCAATTCTGGTTTGAGACTAAACTACTGTGCTATACACACATGAGTCAACATCCTATCACAATTAAGTCACAAAACCTACTTAAGTCAGATTTTTTTTCACTAAGTTTTATGTCACATTATATCATGGCTATTTGACGTTTATTTTTAAAAATCTGTCCATCTCACGGAAGATATCATACAGGCCAAAGCTAGTCCCCCAGTGCAAACAGGTAGTCTATACTACGTACCCCATCTTTTCGGCCACATGACCCTATTTCTCATAATCTCACTTCTGAAGCATTATTTCCGGTGCCCCAGATGGCTCTACGCACGCCTGTAAGAACCACGCCAGAAATACAAAGATTACCCTTCCACATCTGGCTTCCAATGGAATGATAGCAGAGACCTAGGGAGGGCAGGCAGAGCGGAAACTCAAGCCTGGAAAACCGATAAGCCAGGAAGGTGTGGGCTCTGCTCGATGCCCGACTCCTAAATGTCACTCGGTAGAGATGTTGGTGTGGCATCACCCACGAAGCGCTGGGGCGGGCGCGCGGGCGCCCAGGCGCTGCAGACCAAGCGGGGCACGGAGCACACGGCAGTGGCCAGGCAGCGACCAAGGCCCAGGACCGGCTGGACTAGCCCCTCGGGCCCCCTGAGGCCCCGCCAGGGCGACCTGAGCCAGGGGCGGGGAGGGGAAGTGGGGGCCTGGCTGAGGGGCGCAGGCTGGGAGGCTGCGGGCGGGGCTGGGCCTAATCACATGGCGCAGACGGCGCAGGCCGCCCGGCATCTCTTTCTTTCTTTTCTAGAACCTCGGCTCCATCCCGCCCCACCCTGGGCACCCCCGGGCCCGGGCCCCGAGCGGAATAAGGCCTCCTCCGCCTCGCAGAGACACTCACTTTTCGCCTACGGCCACCAGCTCTTTGCCTTCGCTGTTGGCGAACGCGTCAGTCTCCCCGGGGCTGTCCTTGGGGCCGGGCGCGGGCGGGGTAGCGGGTGGCGACGCCCCGGGCTGCGGCTGCGTGCCCCCCTTGCCTAGCTCCTGTAAGATCTCCGACGGAGAGCTGGACAGGCCCCGTGTGAGGGGCACCGCTGGCCGGCCGCCCCCGCCCCACCACGGGTGGAGTCGCGCGGCTGCCGCCGGGCCCCCGCCCCGGGGACGCCAGCACAGGGTGACCAGGGGCTGTGCCCGCCTGAGAGCCGCGCTGACGGTGGCGGGCGACCTCAGGAGCAGGTTCCGCAGCATCGCCGAGCCTCTCAGCCGCATCATGCCGCCGGGTCCGTCAGCGCCCGCTCGACAGGGGAGGATGCTCCGGGCGTGGGCGGCTGCCTTCCTTAGGGAACGCGGTCTGTGGCGGGCCGGTGAGATGACAGAAGAAGAAAGGGTAGTGACGTGGGTGTGGTTCCGGCTTCGGCTCCGGCTCCTGTAGTCGGTGCTACTGCAGTTTCCGAGGACACCCGCTACCAGTCTGCCTCTCTCTGCCGAGAGCTCCGCACTGAGGCTGAAGCGCAGGGGAGGGCTGAAGACATTCCGCTCTTACCCACTCGGGGGCGGGATGACGCCGGCGGCCTGCCCCTTTTGCCCATTCTGATTGGCTCAGACCTTCGACCTCTCTTGTGATTGGTGATTGGAAGAGTCAAATTTCTCCGGGCCCCGGGTGCGTGAGGAGTCGGGCGGGGGAGCGGTGGGGGCGGGGAGAGAAGTCAGACTGATGTGTGAGGCTGGTGCGCCAGGCCGGGCTCCTGAGGAACGGGTTCCCTCAAGCTGCGCCATCCCCGAGACTACCCTTGTTGGGTACTACTGATGCAGGGGTCTCGTCGTTTACGAAGTGGGTGAAGTCTTTCTGGACTTTTGGGTCTGGAGCTGTTGCAGAGACGGCTGGACGAGAGCCCCCGCAGGCGAGGGGTATGAGGTCGGCGGGCCGGCCCGGAGCTGGTGTCTGTCACGACCGTCGGAGCTCTCGAGACTGACCCGAGTAATCCGGTCAGGACGCGCGGCAGCTCCTCCGAAGGCTGCGGTCTCGAGAAGGCAATCCGGGACGAGCTTTATCCCTCTCCCAAATGTAGCATTTTCTTGAAACTTTCCATGGTTGGCTACTACCCAGATGTGAACTGTTTTGGAAAAAATGAGTGAAATCCTTTCAGCTATGCGATCTAAGCCATTTGAAGAGGGGGGAGTGTGGTCCGGGGATCCGGAACACGACAGCTTGCATTTTTAAAAATTATTTTTTAAAAGATGTACACCGATATTTAAAAAATATTTTTGAGCAACAATACTTCCAATAATGCTAGTTAGTTTGAAGGCAAAATTGTAGATAATTTCTATTCTAAAAACTGCTTTACAGTTTTAAAATGGAAGCATTGGAATACTAGTTCTTTAAATCTTTTCAGCCCAGTACTACATTACCCAGTTATCCTTTTAGACCTATGGAAAAAGAGCCATGAATCTGATAAACTGAGTTATTCCCTGAAGCCGCGTATACAGTACACTCCAGAACAAGAATGTTTTTAGACGATTTCCTAGAACAATTAGGTTTAAATGTATAGATCCACAAAAGTTAATGGGAATATTTTTATGAAATGGGAAAGGTGTATATCGGGTGCGTTATTAATCATATCACCAGTAATCTAATGAATTTCCTGACCCTTAAAATATTACATTGGATTAATAATTAGGAAATCTGGCTGTACGTACAGGTTATGTGACCTTTGGTATGTCACAGCCTTGCCATGATTAAGTTTTTTTCTATCTACTTTTTAACCGGAAGAAATGGAAAGAGCTAATCACGTGTAAAGCACACTTTTTAAGAAGAAAAAAGGCAGTTAAGACAGTTGCAAATCACTTAAATGGCTTGTGTTACTTGTCCAAAAATATTGATAACAGTCAGAGTAATCAGGAAAAGGAACATCAAATTTTGGAGGCAAGGAAGCAAATAACCTGCCTACCTCTGACTTACCAATGACTTGGAAACCTTAATATTGTTCAGTATCTTAGATACAACTAGTTATCAATTTTTAACTGTCTCCTTCATCTCAGCCACACAAAAGTTATCGACAAATTCAGTTAATGTTTTCCTCCCAGTTTTTTCTTAATTTCTCTAATTTTCTGGTTAAAATTCTTTCTAATGTTTAAAGGTTTAAATGCTTGCATGGTTATACAACCTTTTTTCTTTTCTGCTGCAGTGCATTGGAAGAATGAGAGTTGTCTTGGGCCACACATTGAATACACTAGCACTAATGAAAACTGATGCGCAAAAGCAAAGGTCTGTGCATACTTTTCTCCATATCCAACCTCACAATAAGCACAACAGTCCTCAAATAATCTGCATGCAGCCCAGGGGCTGCAGGTTGGACACCCTTTCTTATAGAAAGCCAGTTTAGGAGAATAGAGTTTCTATATTCAAGGATGAGAATGGCAGACATTATTCCTAACGTTTAAAACTAGGAGTGCACTAAAACTTTATAACAGTTTGAGAAGGGTAATAAAAAGCTTATATACAGTAAATTGAAACTTATGAAGTATGACTTTGATTTGATTCTTGTCATCATCTTATATAATTTTCTTTTATTTTTAGAGATGTTTTTCTCATACAACTTTGGAACCATGAGTTAGAGTTTCAATTATATTAAATTGAATCACATCATCGTATAACATGAACTCAGGTAAAACATTTTAAGAAACATTTTATACACATCCAACAACCCACCTAAGTATCTACACCTAAGGGAAAAAAAGGCTTAAAGGTATTCCTGATTAAAGGTGGTTAAGTTATGAGAGCTACTCTTAAACTTCCTCTTTGCTACTACTTAGCTAAGTGCAGCTATTTTACAATGAGTTGTGGACCCATAGCCATAGTGAAGTAAGCAATCAACCATCAAAAGGCAAAACTGGAATGTTTGCACTTTGTTTCTGCTCCAACGTAAAGGTTCTTGACCTTCTGTGTCCTGAGCTTCTGTGTTCTTTTGAACATAGTATTTCAAGATCATAGTATAACCCAAAATTGCAAATCTTACCCTTCACAAAAACTAAAGAGTATTTGTTGACTTAGAACTCAATCAAAAGTAATTCTCCTTTGATTAATGTCTTAAAAGAATTGCCTATGCCTTTTGTTGTTTGGAATTCTTTTTGGAAAACAGAGTAAGGTTCAGAAAACCTCTAAACAAACTTCTACTGCTACTTCCCATTCTTCTGTTGATTTCCTGCTTTAACTGGCCAACTTTCTAGCCTTGCTAATAAGCTCTGCCAAACATGACATTTTCCCAGCACTGAATATAGATCTGTTTTAAAACAAGTTTGATAAATCGCTCATCTATAAGATGGGGATGATATTGATACTTGTAGAGTGTAGATGAGGAAAAAATGAAAAATGAACAATACATATAAGGCTCCTAGAACAATGACCGCAGTACTCTGTGTTAGCTATTATTATTATCATCCCATGGATGATAATAAAATAAAATAAAATAAATAAATAAAATAAATTTTGATGTACAAAGAGATCAATTCTCACATCCATTATTGAAAAGTCAAACAGGAGGATTATTGTAAATCACCTAATCATAAGATATTTAAGGAGAACCGAGTGCCCCAACATGAGATCATTTGCTTCCTTCATTTTTAGAAAACAAACCAATAATTTTCAAACTATCTTAAAATAGAAAGAGACTGTTGCAAAGACAGTCAAATTAAGGAAAGCTGGGCTAAGTGTCCAAAGTAACAGCTATTTACAAATAACCAAAAAAATAATAATAATAATACTGAAGGAGGAAGAACAGCTAGCTAGGGGAAAAAAAGGCCTTGGCTATGCATATAATATATATAAATACCCTAACATAAAGCAATTAAATGTAAAAATATATCATTTGCCATCTACATAAATGAAATTAAACCTCTGTTCATTGTGACAACACACAAAAATGGCAAGAGATTTTCATCAAATTTGAGCAGTACCATGGAGTGGTCTGGCTAATACCAACTACATGAAATTCTTATTGAGTCTACTGATGGCTGGAATAAGAATAGGGTGGAAATCAATTATGCTTCATCCAGAGTCATATGGTAAAGATTTCAATTAGTTGAGTTTGTGGATTAATAGTGTTTATATTTAGATAATGCTTATATTGGGGGGATACCAAATAGTTATTAATTTTTCAAAATGATTTTAATTCTTATCTTTCTGTGGATTTATAGAAAAAATAAAATCAGACTAAATTTCATCCCAGAGATAAGAAAGTCTTACTTATAGATTAGCAAAACATAAAAGAAAAAAAAGATTGATTTTGTATATAGTCAAAAAATCAAAAGGATACCTGCTGGAGAATAAAAACAACTTCTGTGATAGGTTATATTACTGTTGCCAAATATTCTTGACTTTATTTCCTCACCTTGTTGCATGGTTGGCTTGGCCTTGATTTGTTCAGTGAAATGTGAGAGGAAGTGATACGCCAATGCTGAGCAGAAACTTTAAAAGCCATTGCTCAGTTCTCCTGTCTCTCTATTCCTTTTGAAACAAGAATGGCATGTTCCAGAGAGGGGATAGTTCTTTTCCTGGGTCCCAGAATTATGGAACAAATCTGACAGTGACTGTTAATTGACAAATAACATAAAGAGAAACAAGCCTTATTATAAGTCATTTTTATTTATTTGTTTATTTATTTTTATTTTTTATTTTTGAGACAGAGTCGCTCTGTCGTCCTGGGCATCATCATAGCTCACAGCAACCTCAATCTCCTGAGCTTAAGTGATCCTCTTACCTCAGCCTCCCAAGACTACAGGCAAGCACCACCATACCCAGCTAATTTTTTTCTATTTTTAGTAGAGACTGGGTCTGAACTCCTAAGCTCAAGGAATCCACCTGCCTTGACCTCCCAAAGTGCTGGGCTATCTGGAATGAGCCACCTTAGCTGTCCTGTAAATCTTTAGATTTAATTGCCATACAATGACTTAGCTTAAGCTGACTTGAATGAAGAAAACTTGAACATGGCAGCCACGAGACCAAGATGGATTATGAAGAATATTTTAGAACCCTAAAAATAGTCAATCTACAGAGCAGTTGAAACTGAGTACCATTAAAGTGGGACTGCCTATCAGAACAGGCAGTTTCTTTCAGGAACAATTTAAAAAACAAAGTTCAGATAAGAGACATTTCATTGTTATTTCAATATGCCATATGCACTTGGACAGTTTAAGTGGGGAAAATTAGCAGTGATTTAAAGTATGAGCCTCACATCAATTATGCTAATGTTGGTTTTATGCTATGAAATCCACTGTTGGTTCAACATTTGAAATTTGTCACATTTTCCAAGCCCTGGAAAAGAAAAATGAATGAGGGCTTTTATCTATTTATGTTCATCCAAGGGTAAAATCATATTAACAATTCAGAAACCAATTACTGAACTCTACTGAAATCATTATTTATGGAGCTAAATCCAAAATTCAGAGTCTACAATAATGTATTTTGGTGTACCAGGGTAAAGAGCAATCAATATTCA